CCCTTGCACTAATTGTTTCCATGTGTCTTTGGTTTTCTTCATTCTTCTTGGCTCTGGATGAGAAGAGACCCATCGTTGCATCTAGATGGCCGCTTGCAAGCTTTTAAGACCCCAGTCACTGCTCACCACCGTAGGGTGTAGAACAATGTTTTGTGTAGTATGTTACGCCAATTGAGCTTGATGTCCCCTGTGACTATGGTCCTAAGCCAGTGTGGGCCTTCTTGGTCGCCATGTTTTACAGATGAGGAAACTGAGGCTGGGCTGGTCCATGGTGGTTGCAACACTGTAGCCTCTCTCCCTGCAGGTGCTCAGTACTGGGTATACGATGGGGAGAAGCCAGTCCTGGGCCCCGCACCCCTCTCCGAGCTGGGCCTGCTGGGTTCCCCAGTTCACGCTGCCTTGGTCTGGGGCCCCAAGAAGAATAAGGTCTACTTTTTCCGGGATGGCGACTATTGGCGTTTCCACCCCAGCAACAGCCGCGTGGACAGCCCCGTGCCCCGCCGGGCCACCGACTGGCGCGGGGTGCCCCTGGAGATTGACGCAGCCTTCCAGGACGCTGATGGTGTGTGGGGTGGGTGGCTGGCGGGAGTGGGTGGCAGCCAGCCATGGACGGAGCCTTCTACCTGCCCCAGGAGGTCTTCCTTTCAGGTCCCTGTGCCCACACCATCCCTCACCCCACCGGGCTCCCCCCTGGCCTGCAGATGAAGAGACTGAGGGTCAGAGAGGTGCCAGGCTTGCCTTGCCCTGCAGTCATAAAGGTAAAATAGTTACCACACTGGGTGGGCGATGCCCCAGCCCACAGAGCTTCTTCTCACACGTGAGGTCTCTGGCAGGGGTCAGCACAATTCTCTAAGGTAAGACATGTGATTGGCCCAGTGTCCAGGAGCGCAAAGAGGTCGGGTAGTGCAGTCCATAACCAGGGCCACCTGAGGGGAAGCCAGACCCCTGCCTGGCAGTCCTTGCCCCCGACCACTCTGCCCCCGGCCTCCTGTGAACAGAAAGGACAACAGCCAGGCTGGGATCTCTGCCCAGCACTCGGCCCACTCTTGGCCTCTGTCCTCCCACGTTGGGGTTCACTGGGGAGCCATCCTGGGTAGCCTCAGGCTGTTGCTCCTGGACTCCCCACTGTCTGTAGCCAGAAGGAGCTCTGGTGGCATAGTGGTTAAAGATTCAGCTGCTAACCAGAAGGTTGGTGGTTCAAACCTACCAGCTGCTCTGCGAGAGAAAGACGAGGCAGTCAGCTTCCATAAAGATTGACAGCCTTGGAGACCCTGTGGGGCAGTTCCACTCTGTCCTCTAGGGGCGCTGTGGTCAGAATCGACTCCACGG